CTGTAATTCCTTTGTGCCCACTCTCACCTCCTTGCGGCTGCACCCGTAGGCCGCAAGGCGCCGCGCGCACCCACTGCGTGTACGGCCGCTCCGTGCCCGGCCAATCCGCAGGCCTAGGCCCACACTGTGCATCCAAATAGACGAGCGCCCCACAAAGCCCGCCGGCCATCTGGCGGAAGGGGCCCCGTGGCCCCATCGGGCGCCTCGGCAGGCGCATCGCCCGAACACACCGAAAACCACGCCCATTCACTCGCAGCAACTATAAACAAATTTGCCATGATATGTCATGTGACGCCTTGGACTTTGATGTGGTCTTCAATGACGTCTTGGATTGCCAACAAGAATTAGCTACCAACATCAAGACACGGCGCCTAGGAATTTCCTGACAAACAAGGGGTTGAAGTAGGTGCGATATATCACATCAGCGCAACAGAAATCACGCAAGGAAGCAAATTGTTGGACAACTGGGTTAATGCCTGTGTTCCTAAGTATTGGACTCGCAACGCGTTGGTTTGAAAGCTGTTGCTACAGTTGTGTTTCCTACATAAAGTTATCTTACCGTATTTACCCGGTTTTAATACTCACCCTCTGTTAGTATCCAACCCCCTCATTGGGGGTTTAAGACCACGGTAGTACCCATCACCCGGTGTTAGCCCACCCCCAAACCTCAGCAGAAACGAGCAAGGCGCGGATGGTGGCAAGGGATGTCGGGGGGTGGTGCTGGGCCGCGTTGCCCAGATTGGGCCGAGCTGCGTACTCTGCGATTCGCGCATCAACGGGGACGATTGGGCAATGTCAATTATCTGGGGCTCACTTAGAAGAGGTGCTCTTGAAAATTGAAACAAAGACCCATGCAGCAGGCAGAATGAATGATATGATCTGACACTCCCAAGTATTGCAGGCGCACACCGATGCCACCCACAACTACAGTGCAGTGAGCTTTGGGCTTGGCTCCAACACCGTCATTCTTATTGCAATCGATCTGGCATTTAGTGCAGTTGAACTTTTGGGCAAGCCTGGACTTTTAGCAATCTCCATTGCCCTGATGTCCACTTCCTTTTTGCAGTTGTTCACTCTGGCCGTGATAGCGTCCAACTTGCTCTGCACAACTGTGTTTGCTACAGCGATGTCACCAACTTTCTCCAACAGAATTGAGTCCACCGCAACACAAGATCTCCAACAACAGGGAATCAGTCAGACTAAGGCGGCAGAGGGAACATTGTGCATGGACAGTGCCTGCTACGCCCCGGTGCCTTTCTATACGCCCATGCTCAAACAACAACAAGCCCCACAGAATATGTGCAATTCCCTGTTTCAATCTTTATGTGTGCAAGTGCAAGGTTCAAATTTAAAAAATTGGCTATCCTATTGGAACACGCAGTGCGCACCGGACCGCGAAGTGCTCAAGGCTCCGCCCACAGCACAAACTCCATCTTTGTAGTCCTTGGCAAAGGTGCGGCGCATCTCCCAGCTTACCTTGTTGTGCTCCACAAGAAATTGCATGCCTTCCTCAGGTTGTCAGACACAATACGGATGGACTCTTTCAAAATTGCCAGCTCGCTCTTTGGCCTCTTTTTCTGCTCCTCCACCAGCTTTGTGGGCAGCTGGACGCGCTTTTAGATGTCCCTGTAATCTTGTTAAGATTCGCTGCGTCAGCCGCAGCCTTGATTTCTTTTCCCCATTGGATGGCGATGTAGATGAGCCCAATGACCTCGCCAGCCATGCTGTCCCCGCAAAGAGCGTCGGAGGTTGCTGCACGCAAGCAACTGGTGTGTTTAGTAATGGAGGCCAGCGGGTGTCGCCTCAAACGACAAGTCTGCGAGCAAACAACAGCAAGTCGAGGGCGCAAGCACGTAACAGTCTCTTCAGCGTGAGTGCAGTCATGTAGTGTCTGGGTCACAGCATTGCACCAACATCAAGACTGATCGTAGAATATCCCAAGGAGGCTAGATACGAAACAAAGAAATCCCTTCGGCACCTCAGGTGAGACCGACCAAGTACTTCAATGATTCCCTGTAGTCGTTGTTGATGCAGTTTCCCAACATTTTCCCCATTTTAAGGCCAAGCTCGTCACGCTGATGCCTTTCACCCAGTCAGGACCCTGGAAGTGCAAGAATGAACAAGGTACGAACGCTGTAGCCCGTTTGCCGAAAATTTCCTGTTCTGGACATACAATGTTCTCAGCAATAGAACAGCACAAATCGAAGCTTGCAATTCCATTGATATATGTTTGGTTATGGTGGCTAGGGTATATGGTGTTTTGCTCGGGGTACACGAACCACAAACATGGATGCCGCTGCTGGCAAAATGACCATCTTCCCCATTGGATGCCACCAGATTGCGCTCCATCTTTTGTTGAACAGGAAACTCCTGCTGTGGGCATATAAGATTAGAGCCACTGCAAAGTGGGAAGACATGTCTTCCCACCCATGGCGATGCCAGGCAAGTTTGCCAGCATTGGGGTGGCATTGGCACATTTTGCCACAAAGCCCTTATCTACTGCAATTGTCAAAACATGCCTAAGCGCTAAGCTTTCCATTGGTAAAAGTTTTCGCAGGATGGCGCCGCTCACAAGTGACGAGCGATCATGTGCTGGTCTCCACCATGTTCTTAGTCCCGTTCCCCGCCAAGCGCCGTCAGTCCCAGGACAGCTTGTGAAATTTAAGTGCTTCAGATGGTGTACGTGCTTTAAGGCAGCACGACAAAGTGGCGCCCAGTGTTGCAAGCATCGCACAATGCAAACCCGCTCAGCACGCTCGTCGGCATGGGCAAAGCATCCCCAGAAAACTGCAAGGCACGAAACGCTGCAAGGTGCGCGGCAAATGGGCACAGCTCCAGTTGGTTGAGTTGAATGTAGGGAGCCGGACGTGTTCGCGCTACAGAGAGCAATGCATAGCAAGCAGCGAAGGGGCACGTGTTCAGGAACCTCAGACACTCCAGAATTCAAGACAGAAATGGGGTGATCGGGGGGTATTGTGAAGTGCAGCGCACAGCATGTCGAATGGTTTCTTCACAACGACATACAGGGTCTTTCTCCTCATTGCTCACTGTGCATAACATTCATCCGGAAATAGGGGCGCTATTGAGCTGCAACAAGTTTGCTGATGTACTGGCAGTCATTGTTGCGCGAAGCCTGCGCACACCAACGTCCCGTCGGCATTGAAGCCGCTGATGTCATTGATGCCAGCCAGTCGCAAATTCTGGTGCGCCATTAATCGCCAACGGCACCACAACCCACGGCCATTAATGGCACTCAATCAATGGCATTACTGGCCCAAGCACCAGCATGTTGTGAGCAACAATACTGTTGCTCACAAGATGTTGGTGCTTGGTGATCGCTGCAACATTTTGCAACATTGCTTAGCAATGCGCCAAACTAACTCGTCGCAGCAATGACTGTCACTATTGCCGCAAATCCGCCCTCATTTTTCGGATGTCAATGCGTGGATTTCGCTTTCTGCTCCCACTCAGAATTGACCCTTGTTCCTTTTCCATGTCTCACCCCAAATGCAACTCCATGGGCCACAGAAATAAAATTTCAGCTGATGGAGGGAGGAGCTTTCTGAGCTGCGCATCCGACTGGGTGCTAAACGCGTACCGAAATCAATTTAATGCCTCCATGAAAGTGAGCGAAAAGAATGGGTACATGCACCCTGTACAGGGACACGCACCGCCGCACCAGCCGTGGAGCATTCGCAATGAAGGCCCACGCTTCGACACCACTAAGAAGCGGTCGCCCACTTACTTTACGAACACACAAAATCCAGAGACACATCAATTTCGAAGTGGTCGGAACATGATCCAAACTGCCGGTCGCACCACCGGTGGACCTAGGCAATAACTTGTAGGCACCCGAATTTAAAGTCAAGGACTCCAAAGCAGAGGCAGCCGAAGTGGCCAAATAGCAGAAGGGCCACTGAAGCATGGCCTCACATTCGACACGGGATGTACGAAAACCGCCCTGCCTTTGGGATCCCGCCCTTCCCCAAGCCAGCCATCTCCAAACAGCTCATTCATTCATTTGTCACACCACCGCCATTTTCTGGCACACCACTTTCATCGTTCCCCGCCCTCTTGCAAAATGTTCCCGCGCCCCCTCGCAGCACCAATGCAGCCGAGCCCACAAGTGCGGTGTAGAACTTGAGATTGGTAAACACAGCAACCTAACTCTTAGGTGCGACGTAAAAAATTGGAATGAAAAAGGCACACCACAGCAACCGAATAGCTGCATGAATTCCGCACCGATTCTGCGAACGCCACTTTGGAATCACGTCCCAGTTGGTGGTCAATGCCGGTCCCTGACTCACGATGTGCACACGCCAATTGGCCATCCCGCCCCTGATTATTTGGACTTCACCACACTGCAACCTTTTGACCAATTCACACCAATATGCTTGTGCATGCCACTGCTGAACGTCACGCGCCCAATTTTTGCATCGTTAGCAGCGACAGACGCTGAATACACACTTCATGGGGGTGCTGCACACCCCAGCGAGTGGAAGGATGACTAACATCACAGAGCTGTGACAGGACCACAAACTCCACCAGTGGCCAAGACCCTCTCCTGCGCATATTGGTAATTGTCCCTAGTCTACTTTCTTGATAGCTGCATGTGTAGATAGATCACAACAGTCCAACCTATGGTTCGACATCATAACTTCCACTGCAACTACAGGTTATCTTCTTTCAGTGCCCAGCATAACGATGGGCGCAGTTCCAGGAATCCTGCAACACACTCCCTGGATGAAAAAAACACGATCTGGGAGTGAGCCATTCAGAGGCAAGAACACACGTCTAAGAAGGCCACCAACGCGTCAGCCACATACATTATGATACAAGTCCCCACATCCCGATTCAAAAGGCCAATCACAAATGCACCAATCAAATAAACTCTCAATTTATTGGGATGCAACACCTCTTCACGCTAATGTGGTGCTCCAGTATATAGGCATTACCAGCAACATCGAATCGTGTACCCTGGGGCACCCTGCCCCCTGCAATCACACACTAGCATCCCCCTCCACGTCCTCTTCCTCTTCTTTGTCATCTTCCAAGCCTTCGCCCTTTTGGCCAACAACCCCTTGCAGTGGCTTGCCGGTGGTGTCCAATGGAAGGCACACCTCCCACACCATACCGAAGCAGGTGAGGGCGATGAGCACCGCAACAGATGCCCTGATGCCGTACGCGTCAAACATTCCCTGGTGGGATGACAGCACACACTTGTGAGCAAGGGACTAGGCAAGCACCCCACTCCTTGCATCTTCGGAGTGAGATGGATTATAGGTACATTTGGCAGAAACTGGGTGGTTCGCTCTGTGGCATATCTTGTCCATGCACTGCAACCTGCCCACAGTTGAAGTTCACAACTCTGACACACAGATTCCTGGCTATGAAGTGTTCTAAGTCAGTATCAGCCAGGGGTACAATAGGAAACCCATTTTGTTCATGCTCCCCTTTACTGCTTCAACTGTGCTTCTTCTAGACTTCCAGAGTACTTCTGTGGCTCTCCTGTACAAGTGCACGATAAAAAAAACAGCAGACTGACCCAGAACCCTGAGACACTACGCAGAGGCGATCCAAATGAGCAGCCAACAAGAAGTCACTGCAAACAAGTTTGGGCAAGCCTGTGCAGCTCAGGACACAACAAACGCACCTGTGCAACAAACCCTGCAGGCATACTACCAAAGGCTGCAAACATCTTCCCCATGCCTGTGGATGCCACTCGAATTTCTGTGGGGAACACCTCTGGGCTGTAGACTGTCAGTACATTATTCCAGGCGGATGTGAGGCCCCTTGCCGCGAATAGTGACCAAGTGGGGTCCACAGCAGCGCCGGCGATTAAGACTGGCAGCAGGGATGCGGCGACCCCCCCTGACAGTGTGAACATCGACCTGCAGTGCATCACCGCCAAACAGTGTCAAGCGAAGGGGCATCTTTGCCCCAACAGCTGCAAGCTGGAAATGCTCTCTCAAGCATCCTGATCTAGATGCGAAACCCCTAAACCCACCCACCAACCAGCCCAACAACACAAACAGCAACTTGGCCACACAGCTGAATGGCACAGTGCCACCAGGGCATCACAAAGTGTCAATTTATTATTGGCAAGGCAAGTGTGTCACACAAAGGGCAGAGGCACTGCACACAGCCAATGCGTTTCGCCACTGGCTTGCAAGAGTACCTTCATTACCAAGGCCATCCCTGCCTGAGCAAGAGTGGCACAACACAGTTCTCTCTCCAGCACTGCAAGGATTGCAGGGGAGTGTACAAATAGAGTCACACATTCAAGTGGCATCTAACCAGGAATCGGTATGCTAAATTTGCTGCAAGCTTTAAAGGCATATGATGCCCAGCACGAGGCCAGGCACTTCTAAAACAAAGGTGGAGGAGGTTTCCTCACAAGCCTACAGCCTTGAGCCATGAACCTGCTGCATTCACCACCAACGCACGACCAACAGCTGCTTGATATTAATACTGTAAGTATCAACACCATATTAACACCATACTATCAGCTGTTGTGAAGCTATTGTTTTGGAAGGCTCAGCAGTAGTTTTTCCATTCTGACAAACACAATCGAGGCAACATTGCAGAATGCCTCTGAACTCACAAGATTTGAACGCTTCACAAGTGAGTAATGGGAATTGTGGAAAACCCAATGCATCCAACAAAACTTCAGTGGACTTGCGCAATAGCACGTTGTTGGCCTGAAAAGTCCCCCACCATTTTCTCCCGATGAAGTCGATTATGAGGATGGGCAGAAAAGTGCCTGTGAAGTCAGCTGAGGACACGATCAGCACTTCCTCAAAGTCCTCTGCTGACAGGGAGAAGACCCGATCCACACACGTGGATGTGTGCTTTGTGTGGATCTGGGTTGTGAGCAGCAGTATGATGTTGTACACGACATTGGCACAGACGTAGAGAATCATCACCAGAACAGTCGTCAGCAACAGGGGCTTGGACACCAATCTGGGAGTGGCACATTGCACCCTTAGAACAACATCCAGTTCGTACATAGAAGATGGGAGAGCACAAAGACATTGAGCATGAAAAGTATTCTAGTGGCGTATTCTCAGAACTTGAGGGACATGGTTTAGAAAGCTTGATGTGGGAAATTGGATAGAATGGCAAAACTGTGAATGGGCGTTGCACAGAACTAGGGACAGCCAAAGTGCCTCATGTGTCTCAGTGTGAACAGAGAAAATGAGCTGCAACACATGACCTGTCAACCAGAGTGCATGTTGCCATGGAGAGTCAGGGCAATTGTTGTGAAAGAAAGGTGGCACAGGGAATTTTTCTCAGATAACGTGTGTCCCCATAAGAAAACCACTCCTTTGTAAGGTGACAGCAGGCTTTCTTCTACTGAAACATAGGGTTGTGATACAAAGCACTTTTCTATCCACTCTGGAGCAGACACCACAACAATGCTGCCCATCAAATGTGATGTGAATCACATTCCTTGGTAGAGTACGCAAGAATGTTTGCCACCAGAAAACATGGCTCAATAGTCTCTGAGTGCAATAGAATAGAATACACCTGCACTTATGTGCAGAGCATTGAGCAGCAAAACAATTGCGCACAAGCAACATACTTGTGGTGTGTTGATGTGTGACTGTGGAAAATGGAAAGCTATGGTCCACAGGCCTTTCTGTAATAGCAGTTTGGCAGCAGTCCAAGTATGTGCCTATATGACAACACACACACCCAAGCCACAGCAGCTGCCATGCGCACTGGCATGGTGGCCAGAGACAACCACCATTCCATTGCTCCAGATTCAGGAGTATTCCACAAGAATAGAGCAAAGGTACTGGCAAGTTAATCCACTGTTTCAGCCATCCTGACAAAGGCCAATTTCCAGGGGTACTGCAGGCCAATCACTGAGCAGCATAAACAGAACCACACATTAAGGCTCCCCACCTTGAAGTGTCTGCCAAGAACTTTCTGATCTTCACTAAGGAATTCCTGGGTTGGTCGTCTAAATCATCTCCCTTTGGCACCAACAGCTGGCCTTCTGGCAGATTGGCACCGTTGAGCCTCGCTGCCCACTGCAGTGACTTCAGCGCCTGATGGGGTCGCCCAGCTGCCACAAGGTAGTGCGCGGATTCCGGAACAAAGGGAAACAGCACCAGCACCACAACTGCACACATGGAAATAATGTCAACGAAACAGAGGTGGAATTGTACAATTTTAGGGCTGATTGCAAATTGGCACAGTGATAGCACGCCAGTGCAAGTGCACTGCCAGTTCAGTTTTCTATTTCAGCATGTTGATCTTCCGTAACACAAACTTTCCTATAGTCTTACAAGCCATTTGGAAGTGTAGCCACACAGCATCACATGGACACTGCTGTGTGCTTGCATCTTTTGTGCAAAAGGCCTCCATGCCAGCATGAGGCCAGCAGGGCCGTCGATGTCACCTTTATGGGACATTGGAAACTAATGCCACACAGCTTATCATCGCACGGACGTGTTATCACCTGTGTCTGCATTAGTGTGAGTTCACAAAAGGGACAAGTCGCATCCTCATGTGGCATGAGTGCTTGCTGGAGTGGACTAACATTTGCAGCATAATCATACTTCCTCTGTCTGGAATTAATTGTCTTCTATTTGAGAGACAAATTTCATTACAAGAACGGTCTCAAAATCACACATGAGTTCCAAACAGGAAAGATCGGGTCCCAAAACCCATAACTAACGATTTTGAAGAAGAAAAAGTGAGACACGACCCCCTTGAGCTTCGGGCAAAAGGTAAACTTTGGTCATTCTTGACCCCAAGGTTCAAGATTTACTAGGTAAAGGACCACCGCTACAAAGTGCTGCCAAATACTCAATACCTAACAGATTGAATTGGTTTTTGACCTTATGCCCCAAATTTATAGGTACAGCTTTGAGAGAAGTTTCATTAAAAACCAACCTTCCATTATGGAGAAGTAGGGCATCAAAGTTATAGAGGACATTAATTCCGTACAGGGAAAGCAGTACTCTGCAATGACAATTACACTATTCAAAAGAACTGAAGTGGACAAAACACTGTACAGGACCCTAGAATCAGGTACCACATCAGATGGAGAGTTGAGAACAGTCAGTAGACTTCATCGCATGTGCGGCCATTTTTTCAGCCATATGCAGATTGTGGGGAAAATGCCCAAGTTGTGAGCTTCACAAGGATGCGAGGGGTCGTAAAAACTGGTAAGCGGCGGCATTCTAACGCTTAAAACTGCCCTGTGGCAATCACAGTCTGAAAAGCTTCAAGCTCTGCAACTGAAATGTCACACAATCGAGCAAACACCTGCTGTACGACATGCTTTCGTTTCTTTTCAATGACAAACCTTCAAAATCGCTGCACCAATCAGTCACTTCAACATTCTACAAAATAAGGACAACATGCTTCAACATCCATTGCTGCAGTGCCTGTAACATTATGCAACACAACAACATCAAGTGCAACTTTGAACAGTGATCGCCACTGCATCGGCAAGTGAAGTGGGCAGTCAGCAAAAGGCTCTGCAAGCTTTTGATCAGATGGGAGGGCACACCATCTGACATATTTTCCAATCAATCAAAATAGCAATCTTCAAAACTCACTGTACGGCAAGTTGGTGACCACCATGAGGCCCCGCCAGCCATGCCAGGGCAACACCAGCCACGCCGTTGCGGCGTTGCCCAGGATGCCTGTGCTCCAGAAAAGGCCTGCAGCGACGCCCCAGCGGCCCCTGTGTGCAGCCGGCACAAACTCCAGCAGGTAGGTCAACCCAGAGAACTGGCCCGCAAAGGTGAAGCCCATCATGCCAAACATGAATTGCAGCCACTGTGGAGGGCACAGAGCACAATCTGTCAGCATGGTATGAAATATTGTCTGAAGCAATTTCTTAAGCATTCTCTCAACCATCAGCAGAAGTGCTATGTTGCTGCTGTCTGAAACATTGCCGTCTCGTGTCCTCATTAACAGCACCTGCCAAAGTGTGGCAAAGCTCTGCCGTTTCATGTGCTGGACCAGGTTGCCATCACTTCAAAACAAGATGCAAACTGAGAACAGCGAATTGATGGAGCTACATATAATGTGTTGATGGAACCCTTGATGCCAAACATGAATTGTAGCCACTGTGCAGGGGATGACATTTGTTTGCACAGAATCACCTGAGCTGCATTCATCAAAATGTGACAAACTACACCCATGAGGTGATGCCGGGTGCTGTCGCTGGCATTGATGCTGCACTAGCACAAATGCCACCGATTCGATTTGTCACTACAACAAAAAAGCACTGAAATTATTCTCTTAGGCAGCTATGGGTGCTGCCCGCAGACATCAACAGTGCATTAGTTGGTCACCAGCAAGGCTTGCAATCCCTGCTCCCACCAGTCTTCATTTGGGCAATGTCAAGATTGTGCAGACGTTTCCAATGGTGTGTGTATTTAGCAGCATGAAGCATGAAACGGTGGGCAGTGGTATGCACAGTGTGTGGATGACAACCTGCTTCTGTGTCTGTTGACTTGAAAATACATGCCCTCTCATGCAAGCCAGTCAGCTACATGATGCACAGCAAAAGGGGTATGACTTTCTCACATTGAGAGGTCCAGCTACTGAAGCCTGACCAATCGGCAGTGCCAAAGGTTGTACATGGTCCATATGGCCCATAGCAGAGGCATATTTGCAGTGTCTGGCACTCCAGGCAACAGTTCTGAGCTGCTCTGTGCTTATCCACCCAGGAGTACTGCATTGTGGTTATCTCGGTTTTTCCAAAACAACTGTGCTTATTTGATGCGCTGAGCTCTATGGCTGCATTTCCAGCCTGTGGTGCTCTACTCTCTCGCAAATTTGAATGCTCTGTGGAGCCAAACTGACGAACTGTCCCTTGCAGTGAAGGCTGCCTTGCACAGCAGGCACATGTGCCCCAAGGAAAGAGAAGGCTGTTTAGTTGGCTGCACACAGTGCGTCAATGTTTTGCTGCTGAATTGGGAGGTGTGTGCTCTCTTTACACGTTGCCGGCCACATTGATGTGTTAATGTGTTACTCTGCTAGAACACTGTGCCTTGGCATATTTCACCACACTTCAGCAACGAAGTTATTCAGACACCAATACGATCATTCTGCTTTCTCCTCCTTGTACAGGAGACGGAAGGGCTGTGCCCCTTTGCGCACCCCGATGGTAGGTGTCACTGCCGCCACTGTGCTTGTGAGGATGCCTCCCACAGTTGCCGCCATGAGTGAGACCTTGCGCCCCAAGATGTCTGCAAGGGCTCCCCACAGCAGTGCACCAATCAGCAGCCCCACGAACACCCACACTGTCAGTAGGCTCTCTTGCTGGTCTGTCAGTCCCCATTCACACCTCACCTGCAAGGCAGGATACCGACAGCACACATAAAGATGGTGCACATCAAGGCAGTACAAAATACAATCAACGGGGACAGGGACAGACACAAGGAAAGAATTTCCTGCAAGCTTTTTGTTACATTGTTAGAATGCCATGGCAAGTTCACATATGTGAACGAAGAATGTCTGGAGCGTGACAGTTCATTCTCAACTGGCTGTGAAGCTTTTGAGAAGACTTTGGGGAATGACACATGCCATGCCTTTGGTTTCCACAATTCCCTCAATCTAGCCAGCATGCCAGAAACTAGTCCTGTTGCATTGGCTTGGTCAGGAGCCAAGTGTCACAAGCACAAAGTGCTGGAGCTTCTGAGAGCAGCACTCTTCCTTGGCAGGTAATAAGCATTGCATGCACACAAGTGTCACAGAGAGCAAGAGCAAGGGACACTGCTTGCCCCCCAGTCCTCTAGTATCAACCCCATTCCACTGTGCCGCTGGTTGGTGGATGTGACATTTCTGACCCGTGGGCATTATGACCATAATCTGGAGCCAAGGGCAACATGACTTCCATGAAGGAGGGTAGAGAGTAGTTGTGATGGGCCCTGCTCTTGCACATGCCTGGATGACAAGCATGTTTCCATCCACACTGTCTTGCTGCACTTCACAGTAAA